ATACAATAGTCATAGGAAATTAAGTACATTGTAGAGTATCTATATATATAAAAGGCTAATATGCAAATAGACTGGAACCAAACAACCGTTCACTATGACGTGCTCTGACCACAAGGAGGCACGCGCGGATCATGGCAGGCATTGGCAGCAGGCGGCAGAGCGCGGAACATGGTGGGCATCGGGTGCGGCCGGATGGTGGAGCAGATGAGCGGGGGCACCAGACAAAGGTGGGGCTCTGGTCGCTGTCATCAGAGCGAGCCTCTGGTGGTTACTGAAAATTCTTTGCTCCCGTGCGCCATGGTCCCACCAGGTACTCGCACCTGCTGCTGGTGCCAGCCCTGCTTACACCCGCTGTCGGAGCCGCCGTTCGCACCCGCTGCCCGTGCACAGCACCAGCCCCAATCGCTTGGTGCTATTAATGGGTGTAAGCAGCAGCTACTGGCCCCGATCGCCCCTCAGGGCTTCTCCACCTCCCCGTGCTCCTGCGGGGCGATCGGGGCCAGCAGCCGCCAGCCACCTCTTGCACCCGTTGCTGGCAATGGCCCCGCTTGCACTCGCAGCTGGCACCGGAGCCGCCGCTCGCACCTGCTGCTTCTCAATTGCTCCTGAGTTCTTCTCCACCTCCCCCTGCTCCTGAGGGGCGATAGAGGCAGCAGCTGCTGCTGGCACCTGCTGACCACCCCAATCGCTTTGCAGTGTCAGCAGGTGTGAGCAGGACCAGCACTGTCAGCACGTGGGAGTGGCGGCAGCGAGAGCAGGGCTGCCCACAGATGGGACCGGGTGCTGCGGCAGGAGGGGCTGTGCAGGGGCATGGAGGATGGGCTAAGATCCACCCCTGTGCCCACCACAGCCTCGCGGCCCACAGTTTCTTTCAAGATGTATGAATTCGTGCACTGGGCCCCTAGTACAGTCAATAATATTGAAGTAAATATGTAGGGGGCCAGGAGGGTACCTGAATTATTTGGAGGATCACCTCATCCTATATAATAAAAGACTAATGTGCAAATTGTCCCCTTGACTGGGAGTTTGACCAGTGGGTGGGTCTGGCCAACTGCTCGTGGCCCCTCCCCCAGTGGCCCTGCCCCTGATAGCCCCCCCACCCTGATGGGGGGACGGGCCGACCAACCACCTGCGGCCCCTCCCTCTAGCCATCCAACTTGATCAGCCCGATCGGAACAGGCCGGCGGACCACACCTGTGCACGAATTTGTGCACCAGGCCTCTAGTAAATTATATAATTGTCTAACCACTATTCTGTACACTTGAAACTAATATAGAAAAATATTGAATGTAAACAGTATTTGAAAAATAAAATCTAAAAAAAAAATGTAGGTAGCTCGTCCCTGGCTAAACCCCTGATCCTGTCCCCAAGGCCCCCTATTCTCTGACTCTCCAGTGAGTTGACAGCACCCTTGCCTTGCTCACTTCTTTCTCATAACACTTCTAGAGCCAAAGCAGCCCCTCTGAGTCTCTCTACTGTAAGCCCTTCCTTGTTTCACTGTCCCCAGCTTTAATAAACGTACTCAAAATAACCCGCATTCGTATTGTGAAACCTTTCCTGCATGAAGTCAAGAACCCATGTTCCTACATGCCTCAGCCTGAGCCACACCTGCTCCTGGCACAGTCCCCTTAGGTAACATTCTCTGGTAATCCAGATATTTATTTCCTAAGCCTACACAGTCCAGCTGGCTCACTTCTACTACCTCTCTAACTTTCAGCTTCGTGGGTAACAAGTGGTGACATTTTGTCATTAACATCACCGGTAACGTATGGTGGTGTGACTCAGATCACCTTATCACCCTTCTCTGACACATAAAGCCAGTTTCCAATTGTGGTTTTGTCAACCAGGACTGACTGGAATGTCGTGATGGAAAGAGACATGCCGGGACTCTGGATGTCACCAGACAGCTTTAAGGATTTAAGATTGACTTTGAATCTGATCAGAGCCCCTTGGAGAAATGGCCTGGTACCTTGCTTATTCACATGGTCTTGGCACTCTTTCCAGGCCCCACTTTGGGAGCCCATCTGCATCACCACCTCCTGAAATGAGACTTGGCAATTGAACTGAACGGACTTATTTTCAGGACAACATAATCGAGTCAGTGAAATATGAAGCAATCTACCAACTTCGCTTCTGGAATGACACAACAATTCCATATCAAGATGATGATGCTTTAGGGATTCCAGCCTTTCCTACTTTGGAAGAATCAGCTAACAGCCTCTTTGTTCCAGTCTAGGATCCCACTCCCTTGCCCTTTAGCTCAGGGCGAGAGACTTCCATCCCCTACACAGGCAGGGACCACAGCCCTGTCAGCAGGAAGCAGTTAATAGATACACACTGTCCTCCCTTATCACCCCTAAAAGATTTCAGGATGGAAGTCTCTCGGGGGAATGAGACAGACTAGCAGCCAGGCCAAGTGGAATAAGGAAACAGACATGTCGTTAAATGGCCAAGAAGTTTATAGCCATGTAGTAAATTACAAAGTCCTATTTTCTGTAACCAAGGACTCTTAAGAGAAATGGTTCACACTTCTCCCCAATCAGAGGGTAAAAAGCTTAAAATCACCCTACTCATGAAGATAGGTAGCAGAAACCCAATTAGTACCATTTGTGCCAAACACACCCAAGGACAGATGAAGTTAAGGGAATAAATCTCATTTTGGCACATCAGCATAATTTGATGAATATTCTGTTGAGATTCTCCCCTAAGACCTTCCCTAACCCTCCAGCCTTTAAAACCTTTAGGACAAAGGACCCAGGATGCTTTTCTTCCCAGGAGCACATCTGTGCCTTTTCCTTCTCCCTTTTATTCCCCCATAGGCATGCATCTCTTAAACTCTGAGGGGAACAATGGGTAGCGGTAGCTTGTCCAAGGCCAAACCCCTGAACGTGCCCACAAGACCCCCTTTTCTCTCACTGCCCGGTGCGCTGGCAGCAGCTTTGCCTTGCTCACTTTCCCCCCATAACGTTTCTGAAGAGCCAGAGCAGCCCTGCCTCGTCTCTCTCCTGTTGCCCTTCCTTGTTTCACTGGCCCCAGCTTTAATACATGTACTCTCAAAGTGAAAATAAAGATGTAATATAAGTTATCTTTCTGGTGATTAGTATTAGTATCAACATTCTGATTGTAATGATGTATAGTTTTGTAAAATTTTATCAATTAAGGAACTGGGGAAGGAATACAAGAGTTTTCTTTATTATCCTCCTACATAATAAAAGGCTAATATTCAAATTGTCCCCACGGGCGGGAGTTCAACTGACCAGGAGTTAGACGTGTGCTGACCACCAGGGGGTGGCGCGGAACATGGCAGGAGTAAGCGATGTGGTGCTACCTGCCCCGATGGCTCCTGACGAGAGCTGGACTGTGGTGGGATGGTGGAGCAGGTGAGCAGGCAGCGCCAGGCCAAGGTGGGTGTGAGCGGGGGCACCAGTTGCCCCACCGGTCACCATGGTGGGGGACAGGGGCCAGTGAGCTGGCGGCACCAGGCCAAGGCGGGTGTGAGCTGGGACCTCGATTGCCCCGCAGGTCACCCCACAGATGGCGACCAGCAGTGGTGCTGGGGGGCGGGGCTGGCTAGTGGGCGGCACCAGGACAAGGTGGGTGTGAGTGGGGGCCCTGATTGCCCTGCCAGTCACCCCACAGATTGGCCCTGATCACTGGCAAGGCCTGGGGCCCCTATCTGTGCACGAATTTCATGCACTGGCCTCTAGTTTATTATAACTGTACTAGAGGCCCAGTGCACGAAATCATACACCTTGAAAAGAACTAGGCTGTGAGGCTGCGATGGGCACAGGGGCAGGTCTTGGCCCATCCTCCACGCCCCCATCCAGTCCTTCCCGCTGCAGCCCCTGGTCCCCTGTCTGCTCGCAGCCCTGCTCCTGCCGCCACCACTCCCACGTGCTGACGGTGCCGCCCCTTCTCTCACCCGCTGACAGCGTGGAGCAATTGGGACCGGCGCCAGCAGTGGGTGCAAGCCGGGCCAGCACCATCAGCAGATGCAAGGGCGGCCACTGCCCCGATCTCCCATCAGGAGCAGGGGGCAGTGGAGAAGCTCTCAGGGGCGATCGGGGCTGGCAGCTGCCACTCACACCCACTGACAGTACCAAGCTATTGGGGCTGGCACTGGGCGCGAGCAGTGGCTCCCGTGCCAACAGTGGGTGCAAGCAGGATCGGCACTGGCAGCAGGTGTGAGCTCTGGGTGGGCCCGCGGCACACGAGAGCAAAGAATTTTCAGTAACCACCAGAGGCTCGCCCCAATGACGGTGACTGGCTCCCCGCCTTGGTCTGGTGTCCCCACTCACCTGCTCCACCAACCCGCCGCGGCCAACGCCTGCCATGTTTCGCACTCTGCCACCTGCTGCTGACGCCCGCCATGTTCCACGACCCCCCCTGGTGATCAGCACACATCACAGTAACCAGTTTTTCGGTTGTTTGATTGTTCAGTTGTGCGGTTGTTTCATTGTTCAGTCTATTTGCATATTAGGGTTTTATATATATAGATGTTAATTTAGTGTTATCTCAAAATAACAAGTTTAATTGAAAAGAATTGCTGTTAAGTGTTTTAAACACACTGGTGCTACCAGGGCTCTTAGTATGGCAAAGGAGGCACACAGACACATTTCTATTGTACATAAGTTTTGATTTTGTAGTTTCTGATTTGTGTTTTTGTTGTTGTTTAATGAAATACTCTAGGAAGGAAATCATATAATCCATAATTATTTCAAGGTTATTTTTTTTGAATTTGTATTTGTGCTCCAGTCATTTTTCTTTTGTAACTTATTTCAGTCATTTCCGCTTCTTTTTCTTCTTGTAATATGACTTTAGAGAAGTTTAACCCAGGTTGCACATGGAACAGTAGGCAGGAAGATCTGACATGAGACGTTATCCCTGGTAGCATCAGAATTTGGTGTACTTATAACTTCGTCAAAGGAACATGCATTAAATCTCATTCTGATAACTCTATGAGGTGATTGCTTTTTACATATTTTCTTTTTCTTTAACAGAAACTACCACATCTAAGAGTGCCAGTGGGCTTACAGATATAACTTGGAGCTCCAGTGGAAGTGATCAGTCAGATGAAGGTAACTACTTTCTAAGTCAGAGAGAGGTAATGGACATGATTCTAGAATAGACAGGTTTTGTAATGGGAATATTTTATGTTCAGAACGTGGAGCCAGTGAAGGTAAATTGATAATTTTGTAAGAAATCTAGTTTCTATTAAATATTGGGTTCAATCTTGGAAAAAAGTTACATTCCTTTTCTAATACTTAGCATTGATTATGTGTGATCTCACTGAGTCCCAACGTCTAGGCTAAGCCCTTTAGAAACATTTTTTCATTTACTGTTTCTCATAATAGCTCTGAGAGAGAGGTATTACCACTAGAATTTTTACAGTTAACAACTTAGGCTTGAACATGTGAAAATTGGTTTGGATTCCACTTTGGCATTCTTTGACGGCAAAGCCAGTACTCTCAACTAACTACTTAATGCTACACCCATATTGCTCCCTGCTAACCTGTTTTGGATAAATACAATGGCAACTAATGTGTGGTGGAAGTATAACTACTACTAGGTCTGTTCTGATGGCATTTTACATTATATCCTGCTTTTGACAGTCAGAACGGGGTTTCTCAGTCCTGGCATGTTGCCAATTGGAGCGAGGGAGTTATTTGTTTGGGATGGGAGCTTTCCTGTGCATTGTGGATGTTTAGCAGTATCTCTGGTTTCTGTCCATTAGGTGACAGCAGCTTTCCCAGGCCCCGTGGTGACAACCAAGAATGTCTCTAGATGTCAGATGTCCCCTAACGAGGCAGTCGCCAACCTTTCGGACCTCATAGACCACCAGTGGTCCATGAACCACCGGTTGGCGACCGCTGCCCTAAAGTGCAGTTCACACCCCAGTTGGGAACCACAGACTTAAGATTATGGAAATCATGATATTTTTCCATATGTTAAAATATATAGCTCATCTCAGAGTAGATAAAAGTTTTAATGCTTTTAACATAAGCTTTGACTTCTTTTTCACTGTTATTTTGATGGTTCACGTTATTTAGTTACTGAGTCAAGGTTCTGCTTGTATAGACAGCTCTTGTGGAAGCTGACTATGCTCTTTTGGCCACTTTGTATGACATCTTGGTAACTATCATTTGACATTTCAGTAATAGCCAGATAAAGTGGTATTTTAAGGTTATGCTTAAACTCATAATTGCTATTTCAAGCATGTTAAATGAAATTCATCGTCATATAACTCTTGGTTTGTCTTCATGCATCTCAGAACATAATTTCATTATTAAAAACTGTATGTTTTTATGAATGAATAGTGAGATATGTGAATTACATCTCAGTAAAACTGGTATTTAAAACACTGTATTTTGTCCTGTTGTATGAAAAGGTCTTTTATATTAATACTCAGTAGTTTCCAAAACTGTTAAAGAATGGGAGGATGCTTTGAGCTAATTGCTTTAACATGAGTTAGGAAGTTGTTGACTTCTCTTAAATAAGTTGACCATTAGCTAACAAGTAAATGATCCCTTGGAGATTGTCTATTCATGTGTACAACTGCTTGATTAGCTTTTTCTTCTGCCCTCTTTTTCTCTTCTCTCTTCTCCCTTTCTTTCTCTGTCTTTTTTACCTTTAATTACCATTCATCAAGGTATTGTTTATCTCAGACACTTGGCTGGATATGATGCTATTTTCTTTGATATCTGCTAGATCCTGTGATCTAAGTATCCTTATTTTACAGAAGAAAATTGAACGTAGAGAAGTCAAGTCCCTTGCCCAGAGTCACATAGTTAATAAATGTGCCAATTGATATCCAAGCCAGGAATATCTAACTTTTAATGCTGTGTTCTTCAGTACTCTTCTGGTGGTTGCTAGACCTGGCTTCTTATCAGAATTACTAGGTGAGCTTTAAAAACAATATTTTCAGCTGTATTGGATTAGAGTCTCTGGGCTTTATGGCCCAGAATTGTGATTGAGAAGGCAGAGAAGAACCCTGAGTTAAAATTGTCAAAATATTTTTTTCTTTAAAAAATTTTTCCTCTTGATTTATTTTTTATGTAACTTTGGGAAAAATGTTTATGGAGACTCAGTTTCCTCACCTGTGAAATGCAAATTTTAGTCTAACAGCAACTGTCTTGCCTGTTTCATAAAATTATTGTGACCAAGTGAAGTCTTGTTAGTCTTGGTCATGATAGATCATTTTACAGCAGTATCAGTGTTCATCTGTGAACTTGCCCAAGTTAGAAACACTGTTCTGTATTCTCTTTTGTGCGTGTGTGTGTATTTTATTGTGAGGGTCTAGAACGGCTTGATAGGACCTTTGTAGACCCTGATTTTATTGCATGAAAGAGGACTGAATGAATGAATGCTACAAAAATGTGTTGAACTGGTGGCAGGGGCATTAATTCTGAGGACACTTGTTCCCTTCCCCTTGCTTTCCATGGCTCCCTGGTGTGATGGTTTGGCAGCTGGGAGAGTTTCTTATGCATTCCTGTGTCTAGCTTCCATGAGTAAATGTGATGGTAGATAGGAGGAAATAATTGCCACCATGCATCTGCTTCTCCAAGACTGGACCTCCAGTTTTTTGAAACTGTTATAGTTGACTTTTACCTCATGTTCTGAACAACAGTATCAGATTAAAGAAGACTGTTTCTTTTTGTTTTGTTTACTTTATCTCATACTTTTAACTATAGCTTAAATATTTCTTTTTTTGTTTTTATTCTGAATTCCCTTAAGATATTAAAGCTAGTAAGTTTTATATTTTTAATTTTATTTCTATCTGGAAGTGAGAATGTTGCTATTAAACCTCTGAAATAGGGCCAAGATATCTTAGTAGCCTGCTTAGTAGCTAAAGTAGCTGTGAGGGAGCTCTTGGCCTTTGTAATGTAGGGAAGGTTTACATTATGTACTATACCCCAGAGAATAATTTATCCTTAATTATTCATCTCTTTAAGCATAGCGAATTAGAGTTGGTACATTTGATTATTAATATATTAACATAATTTAACTTTCAAATTAAGATTTTGCAAAGGTAGTATCTAGATAATAATATTTATGAAATAAACTAAAAACTAAATTTACTTTGTTTCTTTCCTGCTGAGAGAAATCTATAAAAAATGTTGGGTGAAAATCTTTGACAAAGTCTTTATTAGTAGAAGACTGATTATATAAACTATGGGTCATTTATGCAATGGAATACTATCCTATATAATAAAAGCCTAATATGCAAATTGACCGAATGGTGGAACAACTGGTGGAAAAACCCATCGCTATGACGCACACTCACCACCAGGGTGCAGATGCTCAATGCAGGAGCTACCCCTAGCCCGCAGAACCCCAGTCAAGCCAAGGCAGGTGCCAGTGGGGGCCCCCCAACCACCCCACTGGTTGCCCCACAGAGGGAGGCGACCGGCAGCGGCAGCAGCGGTGGGGGGTGGAGCTGGCGAGCAGGTGGCACCAGGCCAGCCAAGGTGGGTGCCAGTGGGGGCCTCCTGATCGCCCCACCTGTCGCCCCACTGATCAGCCCTGATCACCAGCCAGGCCTAGGGACCCTACCTATGCACAAATTTCATGCACCCAGCCTCTATTCTATATATATAAAAGCCTAAGCAACCTTGCTACCGTTCGATTGGTACCTGTAATGTGCAGTGACCACCAGGGGCAGATGCTCAATGCACAGGCATAGAAACGTGGAACAGACTGATGAATATCAGAGGGAAGGGGGTATGGAGGAGGGCAGGAAGAGATTAATCAAAGATCTTATCGGCATATTAGAGGCCCAGTGCACATGTGCACTGGTGGGGTCCCCAGCCTGGCCTGTGGGGATTGGGCTGAAACCGGCAGTCCGACATCCCCTTAGGGGTCCTGGATTGCAAGGGGGCGCAGGCCAGGCTGAGGGACCCTACTGGTGCACGAATCTGTGCACTGGGCCTTTAGTATTATAGAAAAGAATTGGGATGGCTCCCTATTTACTGATGTGGAAAAACCTGCACATCATTTAAGTAAAAAACAGATCACAGTATACCAGAAAGGAGAAATTTGACTATATTTTATTTGCTTTAACATGCTGGAGAAACCCTAGAAGGGTACAAAAACTACTAATAAAAGTAGATACATGAGAATTGGAGTGGGAATAAGAGTTAGGAGTAATAGGATGGCTAGAGAGAAGAATAAGAGTATACTTTTCACTGTCTTTTAATATATTTTTAAATTATTGAGCAACATGTTTTTTAACTTGAGAATAAAAAAATAAATTAAAAAAATAAAATTGAGTTTAAAATTGTATTTAACATATAAAATTGAGTTTAAAATTATTTTCTAGATGAACTGCAGTTTGTTGACTGGGAGAGGGACAGTGACAGGGAAGATACTAATGATGAGAATGAATTTGAAGACAGTGAGAGTGCTGCGGAAGATGGCGAGAGTGCTGCGGAAATATCAGACTGTGCTTCTTGTGCAAGCAGTCATTCTCTGACAAGTGAAGAGAGAGTATCTGAGCTTCCTAAGGTAAGAATGAATTGTTTCAAAAATTTTTATTCTGTTTATGGCATTTCTTAATCATATCCTTCCTCAAGGGTGGCAACTTTTAACTCCTAGTGGATTCTTTTGCACTTTACCTCCTTATCTCTAAATAACATGCTTGTAATGTATTTCTAAACATAGATAAATATTTTTTATGACAATGTTACGGGCAATAAACACTAGTTATTCAAGAAAAATGATCTTACATGTAATAATATTACATGCAGTAAACATTAATATTTCAAGAATAAAAGGGTTTTAAGTATAATAACATTACCAAAACTGTACTAATATAGTATGATATCACAAAATTTGTAGGAAATATTAAATATCTGCAAATAACAGGATTACTTATATCATATTCTAGAATATATTTTTCCCTCTGGCTCTATTTTTTTCATCAGTTTATGTTGTTCATTATATTCCACAAATGAGTGAGATCATGTGATATTTATCTTTCTCTCACTGGCTTACTTTGCTTAGCATGATGCTTTTAAAGTCTATTTTGTCGGCTATGAGTATTGTTACTCTAGCTTTTTTTCTTTTCAATTTGCATGGAAAATTTTTTTCAATCCCTTCACTTTCATCCTGTATGTGTCTTTTGTTTTGAGGTGGGTCTCTTGTAGACAGCATATAGTTGGGTCATGTTTTTGTATCCATTCAGCTGTCTTACATCTTTTGATTAGAACATTTATTCCATTTACATTTAGGGTTATTATTGAGAGGTACTTATTTATAGCCATTTTAATTCTGTATAACTAGGTTGCTCTCTCTGTTTGTTCTTACAGCAATCCCTTTAGCATTTCTTGTAATGCTGGCTTGGTGGTGATGAACTCCTTTAGCTTTTTTTTCTTTTGTCTGGGAAGCTCTTTATTGGACTGTTTATTTTGAATTTGCATTTGGAGGTTGTTTCTTTGTTTCCTCATTATGGTTGTCTGTTTGGGTTTGTAACTATGTATTAGGTGGATCCTCTACACCTCTCAATCTCGAGTGCAGGACAGTGTTAAAGCCTGTTTCTGACTAATTGGATTAGATCCCAGAGTTCTAAGTGGCTCCCCCCACAGCTGAGATACCTCTCCAGGACTTCAGTTGCCATCTGTGGGTGTCCAGCCAGCACTTTGGCACCTTCACCCCTCCTATCCGTCTCTATGCAGTCTCCACCTTCGGTCCTTGGGTATCAGGGTTCTCTCCTGTGAGTTTTACATTAATTATTCAGGAAGCCTTTCTCTATTTCAGTTGTAACTCCAGCTTGTTCCTGGGAGCTAATAAATACTGAGTTCTCTTCTCCTCACCCACTTTTCACCACCAGCTACCCACTGAATATTCCCCATCCCTCCATTTTTTAAGAACATATATATCATGTTTGGTTAGATTAATATTAAGCATTACATATGTGTGAATACATAATATTTGTAACAAAGGCAAATATTAATTATGATTACTTTTTCTTCACAACTTTTTATTTTCTTTAGTTAATTATTTGGGGGTTTTGTTTTCCTGGTTTTACTTATCATTAATAAAACTTTAATTTTTTACCATTGTATTTGTTTTAGTGGAGAATTTTTCCCCACAACCTTCTCGCTGCTCTAATTTGAACTCAGCAGCCTCTCCGCTTTGTGACTATTACTACTCAGGTCTCCCTTCATTCTCTTTCTTGGAATTCCCTTTATCTCCTCTTATTTGGAGCAACTTAATCCTGGATTCTACGTATGCCTCTTTCTTGGTTTTCATTCTCATTTTGATTGAACATATCTTATAGGACCTTTCAAGAAAAGATTTTTGAAAGATAATTTTTTGAGGCTTGGCAAATCAGAAGATGCATTTATCATCTTTGATATGTGATTGAAAATTTGTATACAATTATAGGTTGAAAATAATTTGTCTTCATAATTTTGAAGGCTTCATTGTTTTCTAGTTCCATAGTTAGTGTCAAGAAGCCTGAGTTATTCTCATTCTTTTTTTAAAAAAAATATTTTTAATGATTTCAAAGAGGAAGGGAGAGGGAGAGGGTGATAGAAACATCAATGAAGAGAGAGAATCATTGGTCAGCTGCTTCCTGCATGGCCCACACTGGTGATTGAGCCTGCAACCTGGGCATGTGCCTTGACCAGGAATAGAACCGTGGCCTCCTAGTTCATAGGTCGACGCTCAACCACAGCCACGCTGGCCAGGCTCAGCTACTTTAAAAATATTTTTTTTCCCGCCCCTTTACCTCTTGTATTTCTTGGTGATAAACTCCTTTAGCCTTTTTTGTTTGTTTTTTTGGGAAGCTCTTTATTTCACTATGTATTTTGAATGATAGCCTTGCCAGGTACAGTAATCTTGGTTTCAGGTCTTTGCTTTTCATTACCTTGAATACTTTATGCCATTCCCTTCTGGCTCATAGAGTCTCTGATGAAAATCAGCTGATCACTTTATGGGAGCTTTTTTGTAGGTAGCAAATTGCTTTTCTCTTGCTGCCTTTAAGAATCTGTCTTTAATTTTTGGCATTTTAATTATGATGTGTCTAGGTGTGGGTCTGTTTGGGTTCTTCTTGCTTGGGACTTTGTGCCTCCTGAACTTACGTGACTTTTTACTTCACTAGGTCAGAGAAGTTTTCTACCATTATTTCTTCAAACAGGTTCTCTATCCCTTGCTCACTTTCTTCACCTTCTGTTACTCCTATGATGAAAATATTGTATGTTTCCTGTTGTCCCACAGCTCCCTTAAGTTGTCCTCCTGTTTTTTCTTTTTGGTTCTCTGAGTGATTTTTTTATAGCTCATGCTATCTTGGCAGCTGCTTCTCAGGAGATTCTAACTCATATACCCGCATACCCTCTGCCCAGGATCATGTAGTCACATCAGCACTTACTTCCTAATACTTCCTTATATTAATACCTAAAACCATTCTCTTTGGTGTATTTCATATTTCAAGTAGGTTGAAAGAAGTAAAATATGTGCAGTTTTTGTAGACTTGCCTCTATTCATTGTTTATTGTTTGCCTTTGAATTTCTCAGGCAGAAGCATGCCCTGAGAACATCTCCTGGTAGTGAAGTGGGCATGTGAGCCAGGAAGGAATAGTAGCCAATCAAGGGGTCATTATCAAGCAAGTTACTGTTGTGGGCGCCTGGAGCTTAATACTGCTCTTAGACTCTGTGAGCCTTAGAATTATCCCATCAGAGGGGCCCTGAGGCAAAGAAATGGATGAGCTGGAAGCTGGATAATAGGGCAAGCAAGCATCACTGAAGACACAGGGGAGGAGACATGAGTAGGGTGTTGACGGAGTCAGCTACAATGTGTAAATGAGCTATGTACATTAAGTAACAGTGGAGGGGGAAGATTTATACTATAATTAGGAGTTTTGTACCTATTAATTGGCTCTCCAGAAACAAGACCTCTTATATAACCTATAAGGGTATTTTTGCCTCATATGCTAGTATGCTTGTAGAAATGAAACATACATATGGTGGGTGGATACTTACTGTACAAGACATGTTCTACTTTAATTCATTGGGAAGCACTGATTATAATTCGGGTCTGTTGTGAATCCTTCGTCCAGGGATGTGATCGATTTGCCTATACATGTGATTCCACCGGTTCCCTGGAGCAAAGGCAATTGCATTCAAAGCACCAGCAGCTAATACATGTGCTTCCTTGTTGTGGGTCACTCTCCTGAGTGCTTTGCTACATACATTAGTGTATTTAAACCTCACAAAAACTCTGAGAATGGAGCTGTTTTATCATCCTTTCTTTCCAGATAAGGATTCTGAGGCCCAGAAAGATTAAGTAATACCCGTGGTTATAAAGTAGTAAGTGACTGAGCCAGGATTCTAACTCAGACACACTCACTTCTGGGCTGTGGTCCTGACCATTTTGTTACAGTGTCATAGTGATAGCAATAACATTAAAACACAGTAACCCTGAGTTCTTACAATGTGTCAGTACTTTGCTAAGTTCTGAACATGTGAGGTAGATGTTATTATTGTTATACCCCTATTTTATAGATGAGAATATGAAGATACAGTTAATAAATGGCAAAATGAGATTCTAATTCATGTCCCAAATTCTCTTAATTACTTACACTTACATTGTATTCCTTGGAATACAGATTAACTACACTCAACTACTTGGAAGAAAAGCATGATAGAAATTAAAGACCATAGCAATAAATTGTCTTTGTAATGTTGTCTTTTAGGACATTTAACAAGTGTAGTTGATTACTGATGTGACTTTCCATGTTGGTTAGTATTGCTGTTTGGATTTTCATAATTTATTTTACCATTGTCTTCCAAGACATATTTCTGTAGAGGGCAGCAGAGACATAATAGTGAAGTCTCTTTATAACCTACATTTTTCAGGAAGTGTGAAGGAAATAGGAATTAGGTGAGCTGTGTTATGCAATCCTCATGTACGTTATGTAGTGATTGCAGTGAAATACAGGTGTGACTGAGAGACAGGTAAGCACCTTCCCCTGTCACTGAGACCTTAGAAAACATGCCTTCAAACTGCCTTTGTCCAGTCCCTTCCCCCATGGGTCAGTGGGGGACAGATTTGGAGAGTGTTAAATTAACTAGCAAAGCTGTATAAATGGCATGCCTATATTTTCTAGTTTTTCCTTTATTCCTTTTCTGTTAAATAATAACCAGATTATTACAATGGTATTATTACTAGCAGCTGCTGTGAGAAATGAGGGCAGGGTGGAGAACTTTGCCCTTGACTGTTTTAGGGCAGTTAATGTCAGAAAAGAGCAGTACACTCAGTTGGTGTTACAATAGCTGGAGTTGAAATAATGTTCTGTTAAACAACTTTTCCCTGACATATATACATGCATCATTCAATTCTCACTGTAAGGCTATGAGGTAGTACAGTGTTCTCTTTATAGCTATAAGATTTATGTTCTTAACCCTTTGCAGTCCAATTTTATTTTTGGAATTCAAACAGTCTGGTCCAAATTAATTGACGGGATTGAATGTTGAACCGGTTTGCAGTGTTGACCTCAGCCTCGA